GGTGAGGCTGAGACTGAGGCGTGTTGCAGTGGCAAAAGACTGGTGGCGTCTAATTGGGGCCTGACGGTCGATGTAGCAGAGCAGTCGTTTCTGGTGCCGATGCTGGAGTAGGCAGAAGACGAGTTACTGGCGGATTGACCGAGCAAACTGATCTCTGGAGCAGCAAGCAGAATTGGACCGGACTTGACAGGCAGACTACCAGACATCTCCATATTGTACCCGGTTATCGGGAGGTGGTCGAGAAAGGTGTTCTCACAGAACGACCTGCCTGACCCGGCATAGCCTGGCCCTGTTGAACTTGGAGTGTCGGGCTTGCACTTCTTGCCACTTTTTCCTACCTCGGCCCCCTCGTCGCCTGCAGAAGGACGCCGTTCTGACTCGTCTCTACTGGCTAGACAAGAGATGTGACAGCCCGTCGGACTCGGCTCGGTCATCGTGAATTGCGGCTGGGCATAGACTAACGTGGGAAGCAAATGCTGGCCCGATGGCGAAAGCGAATGAAGCGGCATGGAGGGCTGCTGGTGTTGATGTTGATGATGATGTGGAGGTTGTAGAGGAGGAGGCAGAAGAGTAGGCTGCGCCGAGGAGTGGGCGAAGTAGACTGCCGATCCATCAGGTATCGCAGCCTCAAATGGCGGCCCTAGGCCAAAAGGGCCCCCGGTAGAGCAGGCGGCAGTTCCCACTGAAGGTCCTCCGGCTCCGCCCAGTTGGTTGACCAGTGCGGCCGCAGCAGCAGCGTTCGCTGCAAGCAAGTAGTCGAACTGTTTGGCATGGCAACGGTTGCCAGGGCTGGAAGCGAGCAAAAAACTGGGAAATCCGATTGTGTCCGAGGCGGGTAGATCTAGGCCCGACACCGGGAATCCGCTGGAATTCGGTCTTCGTCGTCTTACCGCCTCCTCTTCGTCCTCCTCATCATCTTCCTCCTCTTCATCGTCCTCGTCTTCGCCATCCTCCTCACCTTCCTCAACTTCGTCGCCTTCTTCGGCTGCTCCTCTGCTGCTTGCTCTGCCAACTCGTAGGCTCCGACTCGGCCGCACCAAACTGAGCCCGGTTTGGCTGATTGTATCACCGCTGCTTGATGTCCCACCGTCCCGCTCGCCCAGGCCCTCCTCGAAGGCGACGGACGCCGGTGGCGAGGTGGACACACGACTTGCCTCAGCAACCTGAAAACCAGATTTGCCTCGAATTGGCGAACTCAAGAGGCTTGAGTTCAGATCACTTGACAACTTCCCGTTGGCTGTTTGAGAGTGATTATGATGATCTTCTGACAGGGAGGAAGGAGAGAGCGAAGAGGAGGCTGACAGCGAAGCCGAGGCAAGGGTAACACTGGTGGGGCCAGTAATACCAGCCGGT